TATAATATAATGTTTTTAAGTTTTCATTGTAAATAATAATCATTAATTTTTTTAATATAAAATGTAACTTTTATTATCATTTTATTTTTATTTTTTTAAACTTGTTTGTTATTAATATTATTATTAATAATTGACATTGAATTTTATTAATTTAACAACAGTTTTAGGAGCCAAAAAAATAATTGTATTTTTTGATGAGTAAAATATATTTTTTATATATTTAAAAAAATTAGTGACAATGTTAGCTCAGGAATGTACAATATCTCAACAAAAAAATAAAATATGTATATTAGTAGCCAAAATAAAAAAAACTATATATTATATTGTATAAGCTATATATATATATATATACAGTATATAATGTATTGTATTTTTCATAATTATATAATACTATTAATATTTATACAATTGATTTGTTTTTTTTTGTTATAACAATAGATTAAAAATACTGTATTCTGTAATATATTATATAATTTTGTACTATTCATAAAAAATTAGATTTTATAAAATTTTTATATTATAAATAAATTAATTGTATTATATTTTATTATTAGATTTTGAATTTATAAAATATTATGCAATACTATTATTAGTATCAAAATTTTTTTTACAAAAAGTATATAAAATGGCGGCCACTTTGCAATTAAATTTTTGTATTTTTTTATATTTAAGTCTATTTTTGTTTTATAAATATAAAAATTGTCAAAAAAAAGTTATTAAAATAGATATTTAAATTTAATTAGTTATAAAATTAATTTTTAAAAATTTATAACTATAAAACTATTGTAAAAAAACTAAAAAAAAAATTATTAATTTAAAAATATAAATAAATATTAGTTTATTGTAGAAAAAACATAAATTTAGCTATAATTTAAACAATAAATTTATTCATATATTAAAAATTTATAGTTTGTATTAAATTTTTTTACTATAATTACTATGTTATTGTATACTTAAACTATTAAATATAAACTATAATTTAAAATCAATTAAATAAAATATTATTATTATTATTACTCAAAGATATACCATAGAAACAAATTGGCGAAAATCTACATTAAAATTAATAAAAAAAATTCAATTTGATTGCTAATCTATAAAATTTTGTAAAAATAAAGTACAAAATTTTAAAATATTAATAAATTTATAATTATTTTTTTTTGGTAGAAATGTATAAAAGAAACTTAACTTAATTTTTATTTAATTTCCGTTTCGTCTATAAAAAAAATAAACTTAAACTATAATATATTATATTAAAACTATTTATATATTTAAAATTTACAGCTTGTATTACTATAAGTAATTATCATAAATTTTATTTTTTATGAGTTAAAATTAAATAATTATAAATATTATCTTTTAATTAAAAAAACATATTTAATTATTGTAATTTAATTTTATAAATCATATCATTATAAGTATAATTAAATTATAAATTTTAGTTTAATTTACTTAAGTAACTTATGTTTTTTTTAAATATGTTAATTAATAAATGTTTTACAAAATAAATATGCTATAAATAAATGATTTATAAGATTTAAGTTTATTACTAATTGTAGTTTAGTTATAGTTTTAATAAATATAATTTTAGTCAAAAATAAATAAGTAGTAAAATAATTGTAAAAATTACTTTTTAATATAATAATACAAAATAATGAACTTATTATAATAGCAATCAATTATAAAATATCTTTAGCTTTATTATATGTAATAAAATTATTTCTATATTTAATATTAACAGTTTTTTATTATAATATTATTATAATTCTAATATTAACTAAATTTTAAATAGTAAATTTATTTCTATTATATTTTTTAAAAATTATATAAATTTTTTTCTGAACAAAATTAATATATTTACTAATATTGTATTATAGTTGTAATAGAAATAAAATACAATATAACTAATAATAATTTAAATATATTTATAGAGAAAAAAAACTTTTTTAAAAATAAAACATTTAACATATATAATGACAAATAAAATATGTTGTAATAATACTTTTAAAAAATTACAGCCTATATAAACGACTTAATAAACTTATATAATTTTATAAAAAGTTTTTATTTTTAAAATAAAAATTTATTTACTAAAAAATAATTTATAATAATCTTACAATAGTTTTTTTTGGAAAACACTATTATTATTAAAATAATGCTAATTTATTTAATATTTTTTACACTAATTTCTAGCTTTTCATGCTCTGGCCAACACTGGAATTACGATGGTAATAATAATAATAATCAGGGTTGCAATGGGGGGTAGGGTAGGGTAGGGTAGGGTAGGGTAAGACTTAGGTAGTTTTATTGGGAATTTATTATGAGTTTATTAGGAATTTATTGGGAATTTATTATGAATTTATTGGGAATATATTATAAGTTTATTAGGAATTTATTGGGAATTTACTCAAATTTGTCGTTTAAAAATGCAATAAAAATTGTTAACCCTACCCTATACCCCAAGCTATTTCGAGATTTTTGTATATTTTACCCCACCCTATACCACCCCACCCACTGAAATCGGAAACCTTTCACAACCCTGATATATATTACAAATATTGTACAAATAATTATTTATTAAAATTATTTCACAAAGTTATTAACTAATCGCCGAAATATTCAATCAAATGAAAATCAAGTTTATACGTCTAGACATAAAAAATAATAATAATATGAAACTATTAGTTCATATATTTCATATTATTATTTTTATTTAATTTTTAAGTTTTTAAGTAGATTATAGAGAATAACTAAATTTTTATTGATATTATTTTTTAAAGATTTTATTTTTTGTTATTTTTTTTAAAGATTTTTATATATTGTTATTTTAATATTAATTACAAACTACTAATGTTAATGAATTCAACAATTTTTTTTAAAAAATAATTTAATTATATTTATTAATAAAATTTATAAAACAAACAAAAAACTACAGTATTTGAAATACTTTTTAAATATTTGTTTTGTTTAAGTACTAGATTTAAAAAAAAAATAATAATTAAATATTTCTATATTATATTTTACATTAAATAAGCTGTATATCAGTTATAAAAGTTTTAGTCAATTTTTAATATTATATATATATATATATAAAATTAATAAATCCTCGATTGTCGTCGTCTCCTAAGTTTTTATTATAAATAAATTATAAACTATTAAAATATACATTCATTTAAAAATGACAGTTTTTTAAATAAAAAATAATCACAAAAAAAACTGTTTACAAATAATAATAATAATAAATAATTGAATTATAAAATCCAAATTTTAAATTTATAATAAAAAAATTATTAGATATATTATTAAATATGTTTAGTTTAGGTAATTAAAAATCAATACATTAAACAACACAATAAATTAATTTTAGCTAAAGTAATAAAGTAGTAAATTATTAATTACAGTATATTAAAAGTTATAGTTTTTATTATAAAATATAGTTAAATAAATTAAATAAAATTTAAAAAAATAGATTTCTTTTTTGTTTTAATCAATTTATAATATAATTCAAACATTAATATAAACAATAAAACAATTGTTATATTTAGTTATTTACAGTTTGTATTATACAGTATTTGTTTGAAAATTTAACTAAATATTATAGTTAAAGTTTGTAAACAAATACAAATTTATAATAAGCGTAGATTAAATTAATATTTAAATTTAAAAAAATCTAGTATTAAAATATATAAATTATTAATTGATTTATTAAACATTAAAAAAATTAATTTTAACAATATTAGCATTTATTAAAATGTTTAATTGTTTAATTCATAAATGATATATTTTAATACAGTTTATCAAAAATATTTGTTAATACAATAAAAATAATTAAATTTAATTTTTTTTGCTGTATAAGTTTAAACTATAAATAATACATTTGGATGTAATTAATTAAAACATATTTAACAATAATAATTGAATGTGAAAAATATGAAAAATTAATTAAATAAGAAAAATAAATAATGTATAATTTTTTTTAATAAAAAAAACTTGTAAAAATTTCTAGCATTTAATATGATAATTATTACTATCATTATTACTACTATTGCTAATTATATAATTTTTAACAACATTTACTGATTTATTATTAGTATTATTTATTACAACATTATGTAGATTACTGTGTTTGATGCCATAAAATATGTAAATTAATAAACCTATTATAGATATAAAAATATATATATAATTAAAAAAAAAATTATCAAAAAATAATAATAATAAATAAATAACAATTGAAAATAGTTACCGATAGTCATCCAAACGGCAAACCTAATCCATGTGGCGGTCGAAAGGTTTAACATTAGATAAAAGTTGACAAATATACTCAAAAACGGTATGAGCGGTATCCACGGCACCTGTATTTTTTAAATCAATCAATCAATTTAGGTGTATCCCACCAACAAAAAAAACAAAAGCAAACAAACCTCAAAATGTTTAGATTTAGCTATTGTTGGCTGTCGTGTCAAACATACCATTACCGCTACCAACAAAACTAATGTCAGGACAACACCGCTGATGGCACCGGTATGTCCACCGATAAGTTGATCGTAGAGTACCAGTAGCTCAATGTCCAGTATTATGATTAACAGTGCTATTATGTGAAAAATAATAATACATTTTTTTTATTGCATTTTCAACAAAAAAACTTATTTATCATAAATAACTAACTGATTATAGCTATCAATGTGTTGGCCGTTATCGATGAAACACGTGTCGGACGTGTCAAGTGATGATTACACGTAAAAATTTGTCGACAAACAGCTCCCAGTGTTAGCTCATTATATGACTGGTCATCATCGGCATCGACACTATCATCGGTAACACCGACACCATTGCCATCAATCGGTTCAGGCGTTTCATTGATAAAGTCTAGATCGTTGGCATATCTAACAAAAATTGAAAATTAAAAACAAAAATCAATTAAATTTAATAACTCCCGGTGCCCGATAGTTTTAGTACAACACTAGTAGTTTTTTTTATAAAAAAAATCACTAAATAGTTTACCTGATTATAAGTATAGATTCGGCTATCAATGTATAGGCCAATAGAGTACCTAATTTTTTTAGTGTTAAAAAATTGATCGGGGACAGTTAGCAAAAAAACTAAGTGTTTCTTATATAATAGTTATACATTAAGTTTCATTTTTTTTACTAACCAATAGACATCATATCGGCCAACTGTGATATATCAAACAGTGCCGACATTACGGCACACAATAGGCCGCCAATAAAAGTGGCCAACAATGGTGTTTGCGAGCGTCGATAGACAGTGGCCAGCGATCGGAAAATTACGCCATCGCTGGCCATCGAATAGAATATACGGGGCAACGGATATATGCCGCCCAACAAACTGGTCGATAGTCCGCACAGTGCACCTATAGATACGATCCATTTGGCCCAATGCCAGCCCAACTGATCGTAGATATAGGGGAAAGTAGCGCCGTTAGTGAACTGTTTGTTTTGCATATAGTAGGGCAACATCAGTGTCTGGACGGCTGAGACACCGAAATAGGCCAGAAATATGACGGACAACGATATGACAATACTCAACGGTATGGCCCGCTTAGGGTTTTTCGCCTCCTCGCCGGTGGTGGCGATGGCATCAAAACCGACAAATGCTTTTCAATAAAAAAAAATTATGTTATAATAAAATAAAACCAAAAAAAAATCATTAAATATATATATATATTTATATAATATCTAAATAATACTATTATATCTAAATATTTGATAACATTTTAGATTAAACAATTAAATTTTACTTAAAAAAATTATTTAATTATTATTATTATTATTATTTTTAAATATTTTATTAGATATATATTATGCTTACTTTAGGCAAAAACAAATCAATAAACGAATTTATTTATTATATTAAAAATTAAATATTTAAAAAAATTATTACAATCATTATATACGATATTAAACTAAAATTAAATTATAAAAATAAAAATAATAAAAATTTAAATGCCCGTCTGAGGCTTTGTCTAATTTGATAAATATAAATAAGTTATACAAAAATTATAAAAATATTTATCAGTTTAAAAATTACAGTTTTTTAAATGAAAAAATTTAGTCAAAAATCTATATTATAAATACAAAAAAATTAATAATAAATGCAAATTTTATATATAAAATAATATTAGCATTTATTATATACAGTAATACTATTTTTTTTAATATAATTAATAGTTTTTAAATAAAATAATTTATAAGTGATATAACTATTAAATTATATTTTAAAAAAATCACAAATTTATATTTAAAATATTTTTAAAAAAGTTATATAATAAGTACTTTTAAGTCTTATAAAAGCCTATTAAATGATAATTTTAACTTTTAATGTAAACAATAAAACTATTGATATATTTTATATTTACAATTTGTATTACTTTTAATCCCAATTAAAATATATCAAGTAAAGTAAAGCATTATTACTAAATATTGCTAAATGTTAATAATTTTATATAAATTAAAAATAAAATTAATATTTTTAAATAAAAAATAATTAGACATACCATAGAAACAAGTGGCCGCTCCGGCCATCAAACCGGCGAAACCGTGCGGCAAAAACCCGCCGTCGCCGCCATATTTGGCATATTTATCGGGTATTTCACTCTTACGTATGGCCCAGTTATGTGTATCGGCATTAATACTGCCGGTCACTATCACAAACACTACAACCAATAGGTTAACACAAGTCATGTATGTATGCAAACGTATCGACTCTTTAACACCGATGGCCAACAATACTATTGAAATAAAAAATAAAGTTAGTGTTAATAAAATAATAATTTTTTTCAAAATTATACCAAACCTGTCAACACTAGTGTCAATGCAAATGCTAATGGATCGGGATATGAGCCCAATTCCGATACATTTATGGGTACCCATTGGCGCAGGTGTTTAGATATAGTACCTCCGCATAGGGCGTCCAAATAGACTGAGTAGGCACGGGCTACCGATGCCGTACCTTATAATAATAAATTATAGTTTATTTTTAAAAAAAAAATGTTAGATATAGTATTGAAATATACATAATAACAAAATTTACAAAAAAAAATGTTATTAATATTATTATTATTTAAAAAAATAATTATAATTTAAATACCAATAATATATTCAAGTATGAGATTCCAGCCAATTATAAATGCCATAAACTCGCCTACAGTTACATAAGTGTATACATAGGCTGAGCCGGTACGTGGCACACGTGAGCCTAATTCAGCGTAACATAAACCTATAATTGAAAAATATTTTACACAACAAATTATTGTAATTTTTAAAAAAAAAAATAATTGTATGTTTATTTACCAGCAAACATTGATGATATAGCAGCTAATAATAATAATAATAAATAGTTAAGTATTTTTTAAAAATTTTATCAAGCAATAAAATTAATTAATATTAAAAAATATATATATTATTATTACCAATTAAAAATGCTATAACAACAGCGGGTCCCGATTTTTCACTGGCCACATCACCGGCCAATACATAGACACCGGTGCCCAATGTTGAACCGATACCTATAGTTTTTATTATTATTATTAATTAATTTTTATATTTATATATCAATAAAATGTAATTAATAATAATAATGAAACATAAATGTATGTATTTTTTAAATAAAATTAAATCAATTACCCAGGCAAATTAAATCAAACATTGACAATACACGGGCCAATTCACTAATATTGACATTATCCAGATCAATTTGTTTGCGTCTAATCAATGATCGATATATTGAATTGAACATGATAAGATTTTTTGTTCAACTTAAATTTTTTTGTTATTAATTTCTAATACCAAAAAATAAATAAATATTTAAAAAAATACTGTAATATAATGTTTTGATTTACAAAAAAAACTAAAACATATGTTTAATTTTTTTATTTTAATAATTAGTTTTACAAGTTATATAAAGTTAAATAAACTACGCTATACTATACTAATATTTATATTATTATTATATTAATTTTTTCAAATAAAATTATTATAATCAATGTTGTTTTTATATATTATTTAGTTAATTTGTATTGTTTTAAACAATTAATCAATTTTTAAAAAATTTTTTTAGTCTATTGTATTTATATACTGTATATTTGTTTTAATGATATTGTTATATAAATTAATTTTATTATTATTATTATTATTATTATGATTTAAATTATTGATAAACTTGGATGAACCTATTGTGCACAATTAATTTTTGTTATTGTTGTTGATGTAATATTTGTGCAAGATCATTTTGTATGTGCGTGTGTGTGTGTGTGTGTGTGTAATTATTATCTACTGTACAAATAACTAACTAAATAGAGTATTTATATATTATATTAAATAAGTTTAATATTAGTGCAATATATAACTAATGTCCTGGATCAGTTGAGCAATTAATACTGTATTATTTTAATTATAAATATATTAAATTAAGTGTAAATGTATAACAATATATATCATCAAGAACATATTGTGCCCATAGATATGATATATCAACCTTTTAACGGACGGATAAATTATAACAAATAATATAAACAATACATCTATCGATCAAAATGGGCATCAATTATGTCACTAATTAAGAAAATAATATTTTTTAATTTATATATGAAATAATACCGTAATAACTCAAATATATATTTAAACTATCTTATAAGCAATCATATTACCGTCTTCCCATAGTTAACTCATGTTTTTAAAATTAATACCGTATTCCCATATTAAAAATAGTTTTTTTTGAAAAAGTACCGTATTCCCATATTAAAAATAGTTTTTTTTGATAAAGTACCGTATTCCCATATTAAAAATAGTTTTTTTTGATAAAGTACCGTATTCCCATATTAAAAATAGTTTTTTTTGATAAAGTACCGTATTCCCATATTAAAAATAGTTTTTTTTGATAAAGTACCGTATTCACATATTAAAAATAGTTTTTTTGAAAAAGTACCGTATTCCCATATTAAAAATAGTTTTTTTTGATAAAGTACCGTATTCCCATATTAAAAATAGTTTTTTTTGATAAAGTACCGTATTCCCATATTAAAAATAGTTTTTTTTGATAAAGTACCGTATTCTCATATTAAAAATAGTTTTTTTTGATAAAGTACCGTATTCCCATATTAAAAATAGTTTTTTTGAAAAAGTACCGTATTCCCATATTAAAAATAGTTTTTTTGAAAAAGTACCGTATTCCCATATTAAAAATAGTTTTTTTTGATAAAGTACCGTATTCCCATATTAAAAATAGTTTTTTTGAAAAAGTACCGTATTCCCATATTAAAAATAGTTTTTTTGAAAAAGTACCGTATTCCCATATTAAAAATAGTTATATGGTAAAAATTGTGAAAATCATTTAAATGTGAGGCTATACGGTAAAAATTGAGAATCATTTAAATGTGAGGTTATACGGTAAAAATTGAGAAAATCATTTAAATGTGAGGTTATACGGTAAAAATTGAGAAAATCATTTAAATGTGAGGTTATACGGTAAAAATTGTGAAAATCATTTAAATGTGAGGTTATACGGTAAAAATTGTGAAAATCATTTATATGTGAGGTTATACGGTAAAAATTGTGAAAATCATTTAATGTGAGGTCATACGGTATAATCTAATGATTTTATACAATTTTTAATTTTTGGTCATAATTTATGGACAAAAATTTTTAATTCAATGTTTTGTGGTCCGTCCGCTGAATGGGGATTAGAGAAAAATAATTTAATAAATTAATAAAACTATTTTTAAAATTTTTTAAAAATTTATTCTCTTTACTAATATTTTCTTAGATATTTAACCTGTATATAAAAAATAAAAAATTAATTAATTAATTATTAGTTTAATTATAATTAATTTTCAAACTTACCCTTTATTTCATCCACTATTGCGTTAACCAGACGTTGTCCTAATTGGGATCTAATTGTGAATTTGTGTCCAATTTTTTTACTAATTTTACATTACTTTATGAGAGGGCATATAAATAGCTCTCAAATGACCCCTTTATGACAACAATTGATTAACAAATAACATAAATATTTAATTATTTAGTTTATCCGTCCGTTAATTGGTTATCCACTGTTAGGTGGATTTATAATATATACTATAATACTATATATATATATATATATATATATTAATTGATTGATTTACACCTATTTAACTGATAAGATATACAGTAGGTGTCAAATTGAAATCAAAATTTTATTATTATTATCTATACTAGTAATTAAATTGTTATTAATAATATATAATATATTTATCTAATATACTAACAATTATTATTATTAGCTGTTATTATCATGTATATACCGGTATATATTTATATATAATATAAATAGAAATTGTTTTACTTTTTATTACATAATTTTATAGATTAATTATATAAATTGTTGATATTGTGTGACTAAAAATAAAGCAAAAAAATGCATAATTTTTTTACGACAATAAATAAGATTAATAATAATAATAATACTAATAATAGCTTTATTAAACTAAACTTATTTAATAATAATCATTATTATTAAAATACAATAGTTTTTATTTAATTATACAAATTATACATAAAAAATAAGTTTCGAAACAAATAATTTTTGTGTTTTAAGTTTTCTGATAAAAAAAAGCAATAAATAAAATTTGTATAATTGATATTATTATTATTATTATTCAATTATTATTTGTCCATTGTTTTGACACACCATTTTGCGCCATTGACCAAACTATTGATACATATCTGACCAGTTGGACAGCAGTTTTGAGGACAGGGCTCACAAGTGTTTATAGCTATTTAGCAATAAAAAAAAAGATAATAATAAATAATAATAAAACATAAAAATTTATTTATATATAAAGTTATATTTATAATTTGCCTGTATATATATATATATGTGTGTGTATTATATTGTATAAATTATAAAACAAAATTTTTAAATATAGTATCATGATAAAATCAAAAATATCATTTAGTAGTACTGTTATATAATTTTTTTAATTAACTGCTTTTATTAAAAAAAAATTATTATTAAATATTATACTATTATAAATTTAAATTAATATAATTTTTTTAAATACTACCTTGCACTGTTATCAAACAGTAGATAACAGAAACCATAATTATTAATGTAGCTAGTTTAGTTAGCATTTTATTATTTTTTAATAATAATAATGAAAACAAATTAATATTTTTTTAGACTGTTTAAGCTTTGCTAACTTAATTGAAAAATGACTGAAAAATAAATTTATAATTTTTATAATAAAATATTTTAATATAATTTACAGTAGAAAACAAATGGTTACTAAAGAAAAAAACATATAAATATGTTAACAAAAGTTTAATATTTAAAAAAAAAAATAATACATTAATAATTATAAATATAGAAATTCCATGAATTAATATTAAATAAATTTTTGTTTAATTAACTTGTTTATATGGGGGTTAAAAATCATATTTAGAAATAGTTTATGTAATTATTGAACTAGGTAAATCTGTTAATCATTATAGATTTTTATATATATATATATTATAATAACTATTATAATAATTATGAATTGCATAAAATATAATAAAATTATTACATTATTTTATTTTAACATTGAATATAATGTTAGTAATTTTTGAAATATTTTTTTAAAATTTTTTTTATTATATAAATGAATTTATATATTATAACTAGTATAGCATTTACATTTAATCATATACATGTATGTAGTATAAAAATAAGTATGGTTTAAAACATTAAAAGAAACTTTTATTAATTTAAATTTGTTTTAACTATATTAATGTAATAATTATTATAAATTATAATCATGCACAAATAACCAACTAGAATTCAAAAATATTTTTGTTTATATTGAATAAAATTCATAATAAAAAACCAGTTAAGAATGCTAGAAAGCATTTTCAGAAAAAAACTTTAATACCATTAAATAGGTTGAAAACCATTAGTTTGTATAATTATAGCGGCTATAGAGTATGCATTTTACTTTTTATTACATAATTTTATAGATTAATTATATAATTTGTTGATAATGTGTGACTAAAAATAAAGCAGAAAAAATGCATAATTTTTTACGACAATAAATAAGATTATTATTAATAATATTAATAATATCTTTATTAAACTAAACTTATATAATAATAATTATTATTATTAAAATACAATAGTTTTTATTTAATTATACAAATTATACATAAAAAATATTTTTGAAAAAATAATAATTTTTGTTTTGAATTCTTAGTTAAAAAGCAATAAATAAAATTTGTATAATTGATATTATTATTAATATTATTATTTAATTATTATTTGTCCATTGTTTTGACGCACCATTTTGCGCCATTGACCACACTATTGATACATATCTGACCAGTTGGACAGCAGTTTTGAGGACAGGGCTCACAAGTGTTTATAGCTGATAATAAAACATAGTAATAATAATAATAAAACATAAAAATTTATTATTAATTTATTTATAGATAAAGTTATATTTATAATATGGTATTGTATTAAATATAAAACAAATTTTTTAAATATAGTATAATGATAAAATTAAAAATATTATTTAGTAGTAGTAGTAGTAGTACTTTTATATAATTTTCTAATTAAATGTTTTAAAAAAATTATTATTAAATTTTTAACTATTATTAATTTAAATTAATATAATTTATTTTTAAAAAAAATAATACCTTGAACTGTTATCAGACAGTAGATAACAGATATCATAATTATTAATGTAGCTAGTTTAGTTAACATTTTATTATTTTTTAATAATAATAATAATAATAATGAAAATAAATTGATATTTTTTTAGACTGTTGCTAAACTTTGCTAAATTAATTGCAAAATGAATGAAAAATTAATTTTTCAGTTTTAAAATAAAATATTTTAATATAATTTACAGTAGAAAACAAATGGTAACTAATTTAATTAATTTATTTTTTTATAAAAATAAATATTAATTATTTTATCTAAATTTAGATATTATTTTCTGCCGTTTATTTTTCAATTCAATAATTAATTAATTAAATAATTATAATATAACATATGTTTTCTATAAAATTTTTCAATAATATTAATAATAATAATAATAATATATAATAAATAAATAGTATATAAATTATGTTATTTTAATATCTATTTTTTTGTTGATAAAAAATGCACTAACAAAGCTTAAGTTATTTAAAAATATATTTGATCTAGGTTAAATAAGATACTGTTAAAAATTAAAAAATAAATATAAAAGAAAAAAATGATTTTAAAATATCAATAATAATAATATTAACTAAATATACAAATAAACAGTAATATTATATATCAATATAAACAAAATTTGTAAATTTGTTTATTTTACTAATAAACCTAAATTTATTTATAAGTAAGGGACCACCAATAATTCAATTACAAAAATAAATAAATAAAAACATTTTATTATTATTTATTTATATAAAAAAAATTAAATATTGTTTTTTAAATAAATAAAAAATAAGTATACATAACTAATGTTATTGTTGTTGTTTATTATTATTTTTTTGTTGTTGAAATTTAAATCAAAAAATATCAACTAGGAAAAAAAATTTAATTTAAAAAAATAAACAAACCTATGACCTTGATAACTTTTTTTTGTTTCAATTAAGTAACAATTGACGTAGAAAACAATTATTAAAGTATTCAAGGTTATAGGATAATTTTTAAAAAAAAAATAAATATTAAATCTAATTTCATATTTTTAAGTATGTTTAAAAAAAATAAAACAAAATAATTACTAGTTTATATAAATATATATGCTAATTATAAATTGTATATAATTATTGATTATTTCGCACAATAATAATAATAATTTTATTTACATTAATTATATTGATTTATTACTAATTGTAATAATAGTAATAAATTTTTTAATAGCACCCCATTTAGCTATTAAATCAGGTATCCATTGAAGGCCATATAATATATATTTATATTTATATATATTGTATATAAATATTATTAAGTATTTTTTATAATTTATATAAAAAAAAAGTTACTGAAATTGTGCAATTAATTTAGATTCAATTATTTATATGTATTAACTAAACAACAACAACAACAACAAAATGATAAAACATTTAATTTTTTTAAAAAAACATTTAATTTAAAAATTAAAAAATAAATAAAGTTTTTAAAATTTATTAGTAAAATATATATTGTTTGTTGTATTTAATGTTATTTTTGTTGTCTATATGATAACTAAATAGTCGAAAAACATATATATATTTAATACATTAATTATTAATAATTTAAATTAATTCAAAAAAATAAATATTAAAAAAATGTTAACTATTTATAAAAGTGTATTAACTAATAATAATAACTTTTTATACCGTTTGTGTTCAACGATATTATCGTCAACGAAGCCATCGATTGCTAGAAAAGTATTTCTAAATTCACGGCTAATGATGTCCACCACAACTACTACCGCTGACACCGACGACAGTAACACCGGTAACAATAGAGAAGCCGTTGGACAGCCAACAGTAGTGCTAAGCAAACGTATGGGCGTATCAATTGTACGGCTAAATAGGCCAGAAAAAAACAATGCAATGACACCCGAAATGATCGATACGGTAATCGAAGGTTCTAACCGATGCGGCCAACGATGAGTCTATTAAATTGGCGTTACTTACGGGAACCGGTGACTACTATACGGCGGGCGATGATTTAAGTAAAAAAAATTTGTTTTTTTTTTGAAGTAGTTTTTTAATATTGTTTTGTTTTTAAAGCTTAAGTGTATATCATATATATATATACTGTATTTCAACTGTAATTGCAATTAAATAGATAACATTCAAAATGCATTGAAACAATTTGACGGCGATATCTATCGTGCGACCGACGAATTTGTCAAAAGGTTTCGGCGATTTACGGCCGCATTTATCGATTTTCCTAAACCGTTGATCGCTGCCGTCAACGGACCGGCCATTGGTGGGGCGGCCATTATGGTGGCACTGGTCGACTGTGCAATCGTTTCGGATTCGGCCTATTTTTTGACACCGTTTTCATCACTGGGTCTATCGGCCGCAGGTTGCGCTTCCTATACATTTCCGCAAATTATGGGCCAATCAATGGCCGGACAAATGCTGTACTTCAGTCACAAGATGTCGGCCACTGAAGCCCTACAGTCGGGATTCGTATCGCGAGTCATACCCAGCGCTCAGTTCGATGAGTATATCGAGAACTGGATATTCGCCGATCGGACCGGTATTGTCAACACATGTTATCCTCAGTCGATGCGTGCGTCCAAACAGTTGGTCCGATCGGCGGCCGTACGCCGAGTGTTACACGAAGTCAACCGATCCGAGTGTTTGATACTTCGCGATCGTTTACTATCAGATGAATCACTTAAAACAATTGATAAATATTTAGGACGAAAACAAACAGAAATGAATTTTTTAAATAAAATAAAATAAAAGATAATAATATTAATTTTAAAAAACTATCAATTAATTTAATTAATATGTTATATGTTTTTATTTGTTTATTTATTATTTTTTTAAAAATAAATCAATTACTATCATAAGAAACTAAAAATCTATATATATATAGTTTTAGAGTTATCTATCTATATATATACATATTATATATGTATATAGTTTTTATTTTGTTTAAAAAAATTGTTACCCTTACCCCTTACCCCTTTCACAACCCTGATCAAATCTATAACCTTTTAACACTATTATTTATTTTTTCATTTGTTTCAATTAAGTAACAATTGACGTAGAAAACAAATTTTTCAAGAGTTTAACGTTTTAGGATAATTTTTTTAAAAAATATATAAAATCTAAATTGATATTTTTAAGTGTTTTGAAAAAAAATAAAATAAAGTAATTACTATATTATATAAATTTATATATATATATAGTTATAAATAGTATATAATTACCGATTAGTTTACACAATAATAATAATAATATTTATACATTAATTATATTAATAAATTACTTATTGTAATAATAATAATAAATTTTTTAATAGCACCTCATTTAGCTATTAATACATTTATTCATTGAAGGCCATATATATATATAGTATATAAATATTATTACCGTAATTATTAGCAGTTAAAATAAAAAAAGTTACTAAAATTGTGTAAATTAATTTAGATTCAATTATGTATATGTATTAACTAAACAACAAAACGATAAAACATTTTATTTATTTTAAAAAAAAATTAATTTAAACATTAAAAAATAAATAAATAGTTATAAAAACAAATTTAATTTATCTAATTCTTTTAGTGAATAATTTATTAATAAAATATATATTGTTTGTTGTATTCAATGTTATTTTTGTTGTCTTTATGATAACTAAATAGTCGAAAAACATATATATATATATATATTTTTAATACATTAATTATTAATAATTATAAATATAATATAGATTTAAAAAAATTAAAAAAAAATAAAAAATGTTAACTATTTATAAAAGTATATTAACTAAAACTAATAATAATAATAATAACTTTTTATACCGTTTATGTTCAACGATATTATCGTCAACGAAGCCATCGATTGCTAGAAAAGTATTTCTAAATTCACGGCTAATGATGTCCACCACTACTACTACTACCACTGACACCGACGACAGTAACACCGATAACAATAGAGAAGCCGTTGGACAGCCAACAGTAGTGCTAAGCAAACGTATGGGCGTATCAATTGTACGGCTAAATCGGCCAGAAAAACACAATACAATGACACAGGAAATGAACGATACGATTATCGCTGGTCTAACCGATGCGGCCAACGATGAGTCTATTAAATTGGCGGTAATTACGGGAACCGGTGACTACTATTCGGCGGGCAATGATTTAAGTAAAAAAATTTTTTTTTAATAAATATTTTTTGTTTGTTTTTATGCTTTGTTTTTTAAACTGTTATCTTATATGTATATATACTCTATATATATGTAATTAAATAGATATGACACAAAAATCATTGAAACAATTTGACGGCGATATCTATCGTACGACTGGCAAATTGGCCGAAAACTTTAGGCAATTTGTGGCCGCTTTTATCGATTTTCCTAAACCTTTGATCGCTGCCGTCAACGGACCGGCAATTGGTGCGGCGGCCACTACACTGGCACTGGTCGACTGTGCGGTCGCATCGGATTCGGCCTATTTTTCGACACCGTTTTCTTATCTGGGAATATCGGCCGAAGGTTGCTCGACCTATACATTCCCGCAGATTATGGGCCAATCAATGGCCGCACAAATGTTGTATTTTAATCACAAGATGTCGGCCACTGAGGCCCTGAAGTCGGGATTTGTGTCGCGAGTCATACCCAGCGCTCAGTTCGACGAGTATATCGAGAACTGGATATTCGCCGATCGGACCGGTATTGTCAACACATGTTATCCTCAGTCGATGCGTGCGTCCAAACAGTTGGTCCGATCGGCGGACATACGCCGAGTGTTACATGAGGTCAACCGATACGAGTGTTTGATACTTCGCGATCGTTTTACTTCAGATGAATCCATTAAAACCATCGAAAAGTATTTCGGACAAAACAAACAGAAATCAATTTTAAATAAATAAAATAAAATATTAGTATTAATAATACAATTATCTACTAATTAATAATTTTATATATTTTTTTAATTTATTTTTTAAATAAATCTATTACTAATAAACTAAAAAAAAAAAACCTTGATGTGTTTTTATATAAACAAATAAATACATTGACATCAAATATTATCGTAGATTTTATAGATATACAAAATAAAATTATTTTTATGTATGTATATTGTATTATTATTTTTATTAATTAGAGTGTATTTTAATTTTTTTGATTAGAGAGAGAGAGAGAGAGAGAGAGACATTTGACCCAAACTCACTTGACCCAAATCATTTGACCCAAACTTATTTGACCCAAATTTTATTTTATTTTTTTCAAACTATATAATTTAATATAAATGATACAAAACTTAATAAAATAATAATCTAAATAATTATAAAATTTATTCATTTTTTAACCAATTGGTAATATCTCTGGCTTTTTATATTTTTTAAAAATTAATATGTAATAAATAAATATTAATAATTCTAAACTATTTAGATTACTATTTTTATTAAGTTTTCTATCATTTATATATAATTATATAGTTTGAAAAAATAAAATAATATTTGGATCAAATGAGTTTAGATCTTATGAGTCTAGACCCGAGTATGGCCATTAGGGTTGTCCTTGTTTGTAGGCTACCCCCCCCCCCATCAATATTTTGACATTGATATTATCATGGTTTTTTATTAAAAATGTTTTAATCAATAAATGTGTGTATATACTGTATATATACAGTGTGTAAATTTAAAAGCGGAATAAATAAAACTTTGATTACTCGAAAAGTATTACAGATATTTTAAGCAAATAAAGTTTAAAATAATCTGATATAATTAGGGTTTATAAAACTAAAATTTACTAGGTGACACCTCCTTTAACATTAAGGAGGTGGAAAAAAGTTTCAAAAATACATGCAAAAAAATCAAAAATTTCTTATTTTATTGTGTGTATATATTTGTAATATTTTGTATATATTAGTTTATAACTGTAAGTTAAAGTGTGATGGTTATAACAATGTTAATTTGTAATTATAAATATAGTATACTGTATATATATATATATATATATATATTTAATATTTCACTATTATAACTTATTTAAATATTGTTTAACAAAATTATAATAATAATAATAATTTAATTATAATTATCAACTATATCTGATCCCATCGATACCATTATTTTTGATGCTTAATCTAAAATTTGAAGTCAAAATTTTTAATAAAAATTCAATCAAATGTGTTATTGAAATTTAAAACAAAAAAAATTATTAACTGGAAAAAAATTTTTATTTAAAAAAATAAAATTAACAAATCTAATATAAACTTTTTTTTACACTTTTATTTTATTTTTTGTTTCAATTAAGTAACAATTGACGTAATAGAAAACAATTATTCAAGTGTTCAAGGTTATAGGATAAATTTTTTTTAAAAAAAATATTAAATCTAAATTTATATTTTTAAGTATTTAAAAAATAAATAAAATAACATAATTACTAGTTTATATAAATATATTTATATATATATGATAGTTATAAATTGTAAATAATTATTGATTAGTTTACACAATAATAATAATAATAATAATTTTTATACATTAATTTTATTAATTAATTACTTATTGTAATAATAGTAATAAATTTTTTAATAGCACCTCATTTAGCTATTAAAAACAGATATTCAATTGTATATAAATATTATTAAGTATTTAGCAATTTATATCAACAACAAAATAATTATTGTGCAATTAATTTAGATTCAATTATGTATATGTATTAACTAAACAACGACAACAAAATGATTTTAAAAATTTTATTTTTTAAAAAAAATTACCTAATTTAAACATTGAAAAATAAATAAAGTTATAAACAACAAATTTAATTTATATAATTATTTTAGTGAATAATTTATTAATAAAATATATATTGTTTGTTGTATTCAATGCTATTTTTGTTGTCAATCCTATATGATAACTAAATAGTAGATATACTATATATTTTGTTAATACATTGATTTGTAATAATTATAAATATAATATATATTTTTTAAAAAATGTTAACTATTTATAAAAGTATATTAACTAAAACTAATAATAATAATAATAACTTTTTATACCGTTTGTGTTCAACGATATTATCGTCAACGAAGCCATCGATTGCTGGAAAAGTGTTTCTAAATTCACGGCTAATGATGTCCACCACTACTACTACCACTGACACCGACGACAGTAACACCGATAACAATAGAGAAGCCGTTGGACAGCCAACAGTATTGCTAAGCAAACGTATGGGCGTATCAATTGTACGGCTAAATCGGCCAGAAAAACGCAATGCAATAATACCCGAAATGATCGATACGGTAATCGCTGGTCTAACCGATGCGGCAAACGATGAGTCTATTAAATTGGCGGTAATTACGGGAACCGGTGACTACTATTCGGCGGGCGATGATTTAAGTAAAAAAAAATTTTTTTGAAGTAATTTTTAATATTGTTTTGTTTTTATGCTAAACGTATAATCATATATATACTGTATTTTACCTGTAATTAACTGTAGATAACATTCAAAATGCATTGAAAAAATTTAACGGCGATATCTATCGTGCGACCGACGAATTTGCCGAAATGTTTCGGCAATTTGTGGCCGCATTTATCGATTTCCCTAAACCGTTGATCGCTGCCGTCAACGGACCGGCCATTGGTGTCGCGGCCACTACGCTGGCACTGGTCGACTGTGCAGTCGCATCGGATTCGGCCTATTTTTTGACACCGTTTTCAACGCTGGGACTGTCGGCCGAAGGTTGCTCGACCTATACATTCCCGCAGATTATGGGCCAATCAATGGCCGCACAAATGCTGTACTTCAGTCACAAGATGTCGGCCACTGAAGCCCTACAGTCGGGACTCGTATCGCGAGTCATACCCAGCGCTCAGTTCGATGAGTATATCGAAAACTGGATATTCGCCGATCGGACCGGTATTGTCAACACATGTTATCATCAGTCGATGCGTGCGTCCAAACAGTTGGTCCGATCGGCGGCCATACGCCGAGTGTTACACGAAGTCAACCGATCCGAGTGTTTGACAATTAAAGAACGTTTAGCATCTGATGAATCACTTAAAACCATTGATAAGTATTTCGGACGAAACAAACAGAAATCAATTTTAAATAAATAAAATAAAATAATAGTATTAATAATACTAATTAATCTACTAATTAATCTACTAATTAATCTACTAATTAATCTACTAATTAATCTACTAATTAATCTACTAATTAATAATTTTATACATGTTTTTATTTTTTTTTTAATTTTTAAAAATTAATTAAATCAATTACTAAGAAACTAAAAATCTATATAAATTGATAGATCATGTATATACAGTATATACAGTATATACAGTATATACGGGTATATAGTATTATACTATATACATATAGTTTTAGAGTTAATATAATTTTTTTAAATTGTTTTTTTTGTTGTTTAAAAATGTTTTCCATAATAATGATTGTAATAACAGTATTGACAGTTTATATTAAAAATAAAGTTACAGTAATTAGGCAATTATTAATTTTTGGGATAATTTTTAATATAAATTAGACCAGTCAAACATTTGAATTAATGCTTTAATGCTAATGATGACTACCATTGCCAGCACCGGTACTACTACTACTACTACTACTACTACTACTACTATTACTACTACTACTACTATTACTACTACTACTACTACTACTACTACTACTACTACTACTACTACTACTACTACTACTACTACTACTACTACTACTACTACTACTACTACTACTACTACTACTACTACTATCATAATGTAATAATAAAAATTTTAATAAAATAAATAAATAAATATTTTATCATTGTTTATGTAATTTTTCTAAAGCCAAATTTGAAAACCTTGTATTTTTCCAACCCTGATTACTACATAAATATTCTGTTTAAATGACATTGAATTTATCAAAATATATATTTATAATTTATATTTAGTTTAGGAATTTTTTATTATTAAATATTTATTGAAAACATTTTTCTAATATATAAAATATACTATCAATACAATTATAGATATGAATGTTGTATTATAATAATGAATATTAAAAAAATTTATTAAAAAAAAAACAATTTGTTGAATGTATTCAGGTTTTAGTACACGCGTTGTTAACAGATATATATGATATACATATATATACTGTTTCAATAATAATATTAATAATAATTATATAATAATTAAAATGTATATAAATTATGTGTAATTTTAGTATTAAGTATTTTTATAAACAATAAAATATTTATAACATAGTTTAACTTAACATTTTAATATTTTATTTTTTAAAATAATATAGTAATTATTTTTTAAAAATATACTTACATAAAGTGAATAGTTATAATTATTTTAAGTTTACATAATAATAATTTTTTTAAATACAGTATTTATTGTAAATGTAAATTGACCAAGGTGATTAATGTTTTGGATAATTTTAAACTAGATAAGATTATAATAGATAATTTTTTATTTTAATTAATTAATTGCATGATTGGCCATATAATCGACAGTTAAAAAAAATTGTAAAAATCATAGCCGACTGCAATTATCTGACCAATAATGCAATTATTATTTTTTTGTTGTTTAAATGAAGTATTTATAACTTTTTACGGCTAATAATGTCCACAACCACTGACACCAACGGCAATAATATCGTTAACAATAGAGAAGCCGATGATATACATCAACCAAATAACGTAATGCTAAGCAAACGTATGGGCGTATCAATTATACGGCTAAACCGACCAGAAAAATACAATGCACTGACACAACAAATGTATGGTCAGATTATTACTGGACTGAACGATGCGGCCACCGATGAGTCTATTAAGTTGGCATTAATTACGGGAACCGGTAGTTATTATTCTACTGGCAATGATATAGGTAACTGTGTGTCGGTGTCTGTCTGTACTATATATGAATGTATGTGTGTGTGTGTGTGTGTGTGTGTGTGTGTGTGTGTGTGTGTGTGTGTGTGTGTGTGTGTGTGTGTGTGATTGTGTGTATAAATCTTTAATTAATTATTATTTTATTATTTAAAGGTAACTTTGAAAACATGTACAAACAGACCAACGGTATCGACCAGTTTGTCGACGACACTGTTCGGCAATTTGTGGCCGCTTTTATCGATTTTCCGAAACCATTGATTGCTGCCGTCAACGGACCGGCTATTGGTGCGGCTGCCACTACGCTGGCACTGGTCGACTATGCGGTCGCATCGGATACGGCCTATTTTTCGACACCGTTTTCATCGTTAGGACTGTCGGCCGAAGGTTGCTCGACCTATACATTCCCGCAGATTATGGGCCAATCAATGGCTAAACAGATGTTGTATTTCAGTCACAAGATGTCGGCCACTGAAGCCCTACAGTCGGGACTCGTATCTCGAGTCATACCCAGTGCTCAGTTCGACGATTACATCGAAAACTGGATATTCGCCGATCGGACCGGTATTGTCAACACGTGTTATCCTCAGTCGATGCGTGCGTCCAAACAGTTGGTCCGATCGGCGGCCATACGCCGAGTGTTACACGAAGTCAACCGATCCGAGTGTTTGATACTTAAACAACGTTTCAATTCAGATGAATGTCTGGAAGCCATCGAAAAGTTTTTCGGACGAAAAAAAACAACAAAAAAATAAAATAAAAAAAATAAAATAAAACTTTATTAAAAAAAAATATTATATAGTAATAAATACATTTAACTTATGATATTGCTATTTATTTATTTATTATTATTATTTTGTTTGTTTAATAAACTGTATAATAAATAAAAACAATTTTTTATATAAATTAAAAACAAATTAAATTTAAAAAAAAATAAATAATTTCAATATCTATTTGTTACTTAATTGAATCAAAAAACAAAACTATTCAAAAAAGTTATACAATAAGTTTTTAAAAAATTTTAATAAAAATTATTGGCTTGAAAAAAATTAATTAAAAATAAATTAACCTATAACCTTGAACACTTTTGTTTGTTTGTTTGGTTTTTTGTTTGTTTAATTAAATAGCGATATAAATTCAAGTATCAATAATTTTGTTTATGTAGATAATTATTATAACATTTTATTACTATTTTTTAAAAATAGGCTAATATTTTTTTTATAAGATTAAAATCTTAAATACAAACAATTAATTTTATTTATATAAGTAGTTTAACTGTAATACAGTAAATATATATTAGTTAAACTAGAAAACAATTAATTAATTAATAATATTTACTATTAAAAGTGATGATTCATTTAAGTACAATATTATTATTATAATTAAGCTAATTATATAAATATTAGTTTAATAACTACTTTAATGATAAAATTAATTAAATCTAAAGTTTAAAAAATGTAATTTTATGATTATTAAATAACTTACATTATATTTTTTAGTAAATTTTAATAATAATAATAATAATAATAATAATAATAATAATAATAATAATAATAATAATAATAATAATAATAATAATAATAATAATAATAATAATAATAATAATAATAATTTTAACTTTAACTTTAAGATATATTGGTAAAATAACTTTATTATTAAGTGATAATTTTGTGCAAGTAATTTTTATTATTTATTAAAATAATAATAATATATACGATTAGCTGACTAAACAATTTATATAATGACGTTTTAAATGATTATTTATTTGGTGTTTTTGTTTATTATGTTTAGAAAAGTTTCATTAACTTAAACGACATATTTTGAATATTTTTTTCATAATAAAAAAAATATTTTATTACTTAATACATTATATGAAAAAAAAACAATTGTTAAATCTATTATATACTATAGTAAACCATTTTTATTTTAAATTTTTTTCTATAGACTTGAATATAATGACTATAACTATCAGTACCGGTACCATCACCACCACTACCACCACCACGACCACCACCACCACTACCACCAACACAATCACCATCACCAGCGCCATCAGCACCGCTGATACAATTGTTAGGCAACCAAATGTATTATTAAGCAAACGTATGGGTGTAGCAATCATACGACTAAACCGACCGCACAAATACAATGCATGGACACAACAAATGTACGACACAGTAGCCAATGGACTAAACGATGCGGCAACCGATGAGTCCATTAAGTTGGCCCTAATTACGGGAACCGGTAGTTTCTATTCGACGGGCATTGATTTAAGTAAATATTTATAATTTAAAAAAAAAGAAAAAAGTTTAGTTTAAATAAAAGTGATTTAGTTGTTATTTTTATTAAATATCAATAATATTGATTCAATATATATCTTATAGATAATTATGAAAAATCATTGAAACATTTTGATGGAGATATGAATCATATTGTAGACAATATGATCGAAAAGTTTCGGCAATTTGTGGCCGCGTTTATCGATTTCCCTAAACCGTTGATCGCTGCCGTAAACGGACCGGCCATTGGTGTGGCGGCCACTACACTGGGACTGGTCGACTGTTTAGTCGCCTCGGATTCGGCCTATTTTTCGACACCGTTTTCATCAATGGGAATGTCGGCCGAAGGTTGCTCGACCTATACATTCCCGCAGATTATGGGCCAATCAATGGCCGCACAAATGTTGTATTTTAATCACAAGATGTCGGCCACTGAGGCCCTGCAGTCGGGATTTGTGTCGCGAGTCATACCCAGCGCTCAGTTCGATGATTACATCGAGAGCTGGATATTCGCCGATCGGACCGGTATTGTCAACACATGTTATCCTCAGTCGATGCGTGCGACTAAAGAGTTGGTCCGATCGGCGGCCATACGCCGAGTGTTACATGAGGTCAACCGTTCCGAGTGTTTGATACTTCGCGATCGTTTCAATTCAGATGAATGTCTGGAAGCCATCGAAAAGATTTTCGGACGAAACAAACAAAAATAACTAAAAAAAAATTAATTTAGTTTACAAATAAAAAAATACTGTATTTATAAATCAATAAATCTATGACATAATAAATTTTTTAAAATTTATTAAAGATTAGATAAATACTATATTTATTGGTATAAAAAGTACTGTATATTATTACTGTTAAAAAAAATTATTATCAAATATTTACAAATTTTTCTATTTATTATAATTAATAAATAAAAATATTGTTAATATTAATAATATATAGATATATTGATAAAATAAATTTATTATTCATTGATGATTTTGTGCAAATAATATTTATTTTTTATTAAAAAAAAATAAATTAATAATTTATATAATTATATGACTAAACAATTTATATAAAGACGTTTTAAATGAGTATTTATTTGATGTTTTTGTTTATTATGTTTAGATGAAAGTTTCATTAACTAAAACTACATATTTTAATAAAATTTTGTTTATAATATTAAAAATAAAATAAAGATTTTTTATAATTTTTTTTTTCGTTATAGAAATTACTTAACACTTAATAATTATGAAAACAATTGTTAAAATCTATTATATACTAGTAAATCATTTTTTTTTAATTTTTCATATCTTTCGACACCGTTTTCATCGCTAGGACTGTCGGCCGAATGTTGTCCAGTTTGTCGACACCACTGTTCGGCAATTTGTGGCTTCGTTTATCAATTTTCCCTAAACCGTTGATCGCTGCGGTAAACGGCAGCGGCCATTGGTGTAGCGGCCCCACTACACTGGCACTGGTCGACTGTGTAGTCGTATCGGATTCGGCCTATTTTTCGACACCGTTTTCATCGCTAGGATTGTCGGTCGAATGTTGCTCGACTTATACGTTCCCGCAGATTATGGGCCAATCAATGGCCGCACAAATGTTGTATTTTAATCACAAGATGTCGGCCACTGAGGCCCTACAGTCGGGACTCGTATCGCGAGTCATACCCAGTGCTGAGTTTGACGATTACATCGAGAATTGGATATTCGCCGAACGCATCGGTATTGTCAACACATGTTATCCTCAGTCGATGCGTGCGTCCAAACAGTTGGTCCGATCGGCGGCCATACGATGAGTGTTACATGAGGTCAACCGTTCCGAATGTTTGATACTTCGCGATCGTTACAATTCAGATGAATGTCTGGAAGTCATCGATAAGTTTTTCGGACGAAACAAACGAGAAATAATTAAAACTTAAAAAATAAAATTTAAAAAAAAATAATAAAACTATAGTTAAAAATATTTAATATTATAGTAAAATATACCGTTAGTTTTGTAGTAATAAATTCATTAAACTAAAATTATTTCTATTTATATATAAATTATATTTTTGGTTAAGAAACTGAAATAAATAAAAAAAAACTTTTATTTTTATTAAAAACAAATTAAATAATTAAAATTTATTATCAATGTCTGTTTGTTACTTAATTTAAACAAAACTGTTTTCAAAAAGTTATACAACTTATAAGTTATAAAATTGAAAAATACATATTTATTAAGATTATATTAAATTAATTAAAGTTTTATTTTAATTAAAAAATAATACATACAATACATTTTTTCAATTAAATTTAATAGAAAAATTAAAAAATTAGAAATATATATTTTCTATAAATATTTAGTAATAAAATTATAGTAGAAATTATAGACTAAATAGTAATTTACTAATTAATAATCTAAATTAAAAGTAAAAGTATTGTTTCTTATATTAAAATTAAAATTTATATATATAAAAGGATTAATTATTTTTTTAAAATAAATTTTTAAAACTGATAAAAAATTTATATGAAATAATAATTTTTATATAATTTTTTATACAAATTTTCTTTTACTTTGCGGCGGCGAAAACGATCGACGATTCTGTAAACTGTATTCCATTCGTTGACATCGTTCGTCGTCCATAATTAGTATCTTGATATCAGCCGTACCGGACAAACACGATTCGAATACAGTTTTCTTTTTGTCCTGAATTTTGAACAGTCCTTCGCAAGTCCAGAATATGCTGAACGCTCTACTTTGAAAGCCATGTCTGAACATTAACTCAATATATTCGTTGTTTTCTCTACCTTATATAAAAAAAATAAATATATTTACGATAATATCAAATTAATATTAATATATATATATATATATAAAAATTTCTAAAAAAAAATAATTACTGTTAACGGGCCAGTTTGGTGCTTTTTTAAAATATTCCTTCTGAATATAGCTAGCAAGTACTAAGCAAGCATCATTTAAATATGTTCTATGTTCTATATTAACATTTTCCATAATTTCGTAGACAAATTGTTTGAAAAAATTTGTAAAATTATCAAATTCTTTCGATACATCTTTATTATACATTGGTCTATGACTAAATGATTTTTCTATTTCAATCATATTGATAGAGCCAACGCCATTTAATGCCGATAGTGTTTCATTACGATTATCATCCAATGCTTTAACAATATTAGGATAATTCGTTTTCAAAACCATTATAATCAGTTTATTTTGGGCCACTAAATATGTATCATTGGAATTTGAAATAAATTTCTAAATTTAAATTAATATATAAATTTTTCTTTTAATAAATTATAATAAATATGTACTAAATTAACAAACAACTTACAAATGGTTTGTGTTGCGACTGATTTTGAAAAGCTTTTGTCTCCTTAAATTGAATAAAATAAAATTACAAAATCAAAAGATATATTAATTTAATGTTTAATTATATATATTTTTATTAAATATGATTTTCTAACTATAAAATTAATTTTATAAGCTTACTGAAACTATTGAGTCATGTTTAAATGATTGTGATTCAAATGATGATGGCTGTTCAAATGATTGATGTTCCATATTATTCTTTAAAAAAATTTTGATTAATCATTTTAAATGTTTATAAATTAGTATAAATAAATAAATTACTTGCATGGCATGGCCATAATAAGTTTGCATTTTTAAATCGTTTTCCATCTTTTCACATAAAATAGTGTCTAAAACTAAAATTTTAATTTCAGGTTTTCCAGTTAAACACGATTCAAAAGTTTCTTTAGCAGTATTTATATCGTTAATGTTGATTATTCCGAAACATGTTATAAAAATATCATTACCATGATATTTACGACCATGTGAGAAATTTAATTCTAGACGCGTAAAACAGTTTTGTCCTTGAAAATTAATTAATTAATTAAAAAAAAGTTAAATATATAATTTGTAAATAATTATAATTATAATTACAATTATAATAAAATATAATTATATATATATAAAATAGTTATTTTACCTTGCTGCGGCCATTTTGACGTTATCTTAAAATATGCAATATGAATTTGATCGGCAAGTAGTGAACAAATATCAACTAAATATGATTTATTTTCGATGTTAATATTATTTAAATTTTCTTTAACGTAATCGTAAAAGTTTTGACGAAATTCATCATAGTATTTATTTGTATCATTATTATTTTGATGTTTAATAATATAAAATTTTTCTTTATTAATTATATTACTTATACAATTGCCATTCAGTTGTTTTAAAGTTTCATCTAGATTTAAATGCAATGATTTGGCAATATTTGGATAAATACATTCAATTTCAGCTAATAGTTCCTGTCTTAGTTCAATTGAACTAGACTGATGATTTTGTTTAAACATTTTTCGAGTTGTAATAGTTAAAAATTAAAAAAATAAACATTTTTTATATAAATAAATCATATTGCTATTTAATTTATTATAAAACATACCTATTTAACTTATTTATATACCACAATTTTTATTTATTAATAATACATTACTACTATAAGATAAAACAAAACTTAATTAAATATATTTAGATTATATATTATATGTTTCAAGTGTTTATTCTTCGAATTTTGAGATATAAAGTGCAAACGTTATAATTATAATTATTTTTATTAATCTAATAAAATATTATTTATGAAATCATAAATTATTAATCTAATAAAATATTATTTATGAAATCATAAATTATTAATTTTATAATATCTTGTTTTATGTTTAATATTATATATTTAATTTAATCAATATTTGATATTCATAAGAGTTAGATTATATATATAAATATATTAATTAATACTAATTTTTTATAAGAAAATATATTTTGTATATTTCTAAATATCATAGATTAAAAAATGATTTTATCTTAATTATAATATTTTATCATTTTATTTAATTTATATAATAATATTTAACATTAAATTGCAGTAAAATTAATTATTTTAAATTTATTTATTTGAAATATCTTTTATTTATATTAATTTTATTTATTTATTAATATTAATTTACATTATTAATATTTCCTTTATTTATTTAATTTATTTATTTATATTAATTTATTCTATTATATTAATTTTATTTATTTATTTATATTAATTTATTCTATTATATTAATTTATTTAATTTATATTAATTTTATTTATATTAATTTTATTTATATTAATTTTATTTATATTAATTTTATTTATATTAATTTTATTTATTTATTAATATTAACATTTTATTTATATCTTATAATATGCCAATTTTTAATTCTCCATTTTGTAACATACGTTCAACTTGCTTGCATTTATCATTATCAAGTAACAAAACTTTTATATCAGGTGTGCCATAGAAATAACACTGAAAAGTGCTAGCATTTGGTCGTTTATCTTCGACTTTGATTATACCTTCGCACGACCAAACTATATCATTTGCACCATAAGTATAATGATCTTTAGTTAATAGTTCGATATAATCGGATTGAGTAACTCCTATTAATTTTTTTAATAATTAAAAAAAGTAAATTTTTTAAATTAAATTTTTTAATAAAAAAAAATTAATTTATTTTTCGTTACCTACTGCAGGCCATCTTGGAAAACGGTTAAAATATTCTTGATGAATGTAATTGGCTAGTTTATTTCTAGCTTCGTGCAGTACGCCACGATATTTTGGTACTGTTTTCATTATAATATTATCAACATACAATTCTATTTCTCGGCTATAATCTGTCCAAACTTTAACACCATCATCGTAACCAGTATGTAGTACTGAAAAATGTTTATTAATCTGAGCAATCTGCAATGCACCTTTAGCCTGTAGCATATTCAATGTTGCCTCACGATTGACATCTAAAGAATTGGCTGTTAATGGATATGACGAACGAATTCTATCCATAATAAAAGGACTCTGAGCTACAGTTAAAGCTAGATCTTCGTCAGACATTTTTTTTATTATTGAAAATTAATTTAAGTTAATTTGATAGTTAATAAATAGTACTAATAATTTATTAATAAATATAAAAATAATAATTTATTAATTAAATAAAGAAATATAGTGTTAATTTTATTTTATAAACTAAAAAAATTTGTTTGAAATCTAAAAAAATATATAATATAATGTTTCTTTATATATATTAGATAATTTTAGAATTATCATATGTATTATTAATCTTTTTTTATATATTTAGCTTAATAATATTTTTTCCGATTGATTATAAAAATTGCATAAACAAATTTTTATGATTAAATTAAGCTTTTCCATTTAAAGGCTTAACAATAATTAAGTTGTTAATTTTTTTGTTGAAATTTCTGATATCTTTACAAATGATATTAATGTATAATATTTCTAAATTTTATTTGACAAACACTTGACATTTTATTATCATTTTTTTTATCAAATTTAAATAACTTATAATAATTTTTATTTGGGTAATTAATATTATATATTTCATTAATATATTATTTTTTTATTTTTAATAATATTTTATCAATAAATAATATTTTTCTATTTATTTAATAGTTAATTATCTAATAATTTTACTTTACTTAATAATTAAAATAGTCTTGTTATTAAAATAGTATTTTTTTGTCATGAATATGTATTATAGTTCTGTAATCTATTGAATATGTTTATATATATATCTAATAATAAATGTATGATTTTACAAATGATTTTTTTTAATGATAAAATATACTCAACATTAGGCATGTATATAATAATAATAGATTAACAATATAAAAATATATTTCAAAATGTATTTTTTCATTTACTAAAACTGTATAATAGCTCAAAAAAACTTTATATATTAAAAACAAATAAAATTTTAAAAAAAAAAATTGATATATGTTTTCATTTACTAATTAACTGATTCAAAATAAAAATAAAAGTTAATTAAATATATTTAGATTATATATTATATGTTTCAAGTGTTTATTCTTCGAATTTTGAGATATAAAGTGCAAACGTTATAATTATAATTATTTTTATTAATCTAATAAAATATTATTTATGAAATCATAAATTATTAATTTTATAATATCTTGTTTTATGTTTAATATTATATATTTAATTTAATCAATATTTGATATTCATAAGAGTTAGATTATATATATAAATATATTAATTAATACTAATTTTTTATAAGAAAATATATTTTGTATATTTCTAAATATCATAGATTAAAAAATGATTTTATCTTAATTATAATATTTTATCATTTTATTTAATTTATATAATAATATTTAACATTAAATTGCAGTAAAATTAATTATTTTAAATTTATTTATTTGAAATATCTTTTATATATATTAATTCTATTTATTTATTAATATTAATTTACATTATTAATATTACCTTTATTTATTTTATTTATTTTTATTAAATTACGAATTCTATCCATAATAAAAAGGACTCTGAGCTACAGTTAAAGCTAGATCTTCGTCAGAAATTTTTTTTATTATTATTGAAAATTTGTTAAAAAGTTAATTTGATAGTTAATAAATAGTACTAATAATTTTATTAATAAATATAAAAATAATAATTTATTAATTGAATAAAGAAATATAGTGTTAATTTTATTTTATAAATTTAAAAAAATTTGTTTGAAATCTAAAAAAATATATAATATAATGTTTCTTTATATATATTAGATAATTTTAGAATTATCATATGTACTATTAATCTTTTTTTTATATATATATTTAGCTTAATAATATTTTTTCCGATTGATTATAAAAATTGCATAAAAATTTCTGATATCTTTACAAATGATATTAATGTATAATATTTCTAAATTTTATTTGACAAACACTAGACATTTTATTATCATTTTTTTATCAAATTTAAATAATTTATAATAATTTTTATTTGGGTAATTAATATTATATATTTCATTAATATATTATTTTTTTTATTTTTAATTATATTTTATCAATAAATAATATTTTTCTATTTATTTAATAGTTAATTATCTAATAAATTTAACATTTATTGTTTGTTTGTATTATGTTACACTAGTTTTATATTATTTTAATTAATAATAATTTTTTTAAATATAATATTCATTCTAAAATTTTAATAAAATAATTTTTTGTTAATCCATTTATCTAAATAAAATTATCAATATATTATTGAATAGCTATTACTATTTCACTTATCTTTATTAAACATAATTTTAATTTCAATATTATTATGAACTATATTTGAAAAATCTACTAATAACATAAACATAAAATATATAAAATACATAAAATATTTTATAACTTTATATCAGTTTATTAGTATTTTTATTTAATATTATAAATATAAAAATTAACATTTGATCGACAATATAGATTAACAATATAAAAATATATTTCAAAATGTATTTTTTCATTTACTAAAACTGTATAATAGCTCAAAAAAAACTGTATTGATTAAAGCAAATAAAATTTTTCAAAAAAAAAATTGATATATGTGTTCATTTGCTGAATTAACTGAATCAAAATAAAAATTGTTAAAAAATTTATACAATAGGTTAAAAAAAATTCTAATTATTAGCTTAAAAAAATTAATTAAATATAAATTAATTTATAACTTTGAACACTTTTTATTTCTATTTTTTTTTTGTGGATATACTATATTAATAATATAGATATAATGCCTAAAAATAACTTAATTATAAATTGATAATTTTCTGCAAGTAATATTTATTACTATAATTATTATTATTTTTTCTTATTAATGTTTTTTTTTTAAAAATATTTTTATTAATTAAAACATAAATTGATGAAAACAGTTATAAAAATCTATTATAAATTGAACGATACGGCCACCGATGAGTCTATTTAGTTGGCATTAATTACGGGAACCGGTAGTTATTATTCTACTGGCAATGATTTAGGTAACTGTGTGTATGTATGTGTTTATAAAACTATTAATTAATTATTATTTTATCACTTAAAGGTAACTTTGAAAACATGTACAAACAGACTAAGGGTATCGACCAGTTTGTCGACACTGTTCGGCAATTTGTGGCCTCGTTTACCCTCGTATTTCCCGAAACCATTGATTGCTGCCGTAAACAGACCGGCCATTGGTGTGGCGGCCACTATACTGGAACTGGTCGACTATGCGGTCGCCTCGGATACGGCATATTTTTTGACACCATTTTCATCGCTAGGATTGTCGGCCGAAAGTTGCTCGACCTATACGTTCCCGCAGATTATGGGCCAATCAATGGCCGGACAAATGCTGTACTTCAGTCACAATATGTCGGCCACTTAGGCCTTGCAGTCGCGGGATTTGTGCCGCGAGTCATACCCTCTGCTCAGTTCGATGAGTATATCGAGAACTGGATATTCGCCGATCGGACCGGTATTGTGAACCAGTGTTATCCTCAGTCGATGCGTGCGTCCAAACAGTTTGTCCGATCGGCGGCCATACGCCGAGTGTAACATGAGGTCAACCGTTCCGAGTGTTTGATACTTAAACAACGTTTCAATTCAGATGATTGTCTTCAAGCCATCGATAAGTTTTTCGGACTAAACAAACGAGAAATAATTAAAACATAAATTTAAAATAAATTTAAAAAATAAAAAAATAAGTCTATATTTAAAAAAAAATATTATATAGTAATAAATGCATTTAAAATCAAATTAAATTTTAAAAAATGATATCAATGTCTATATTTGTTATTTAATTGAATCAACAATAAAAACTGTTCAAAAAGTTATACAATAATTAAAAAAAAAAATTTAAATAAATTATTAGCTTGAAAAAAATGTATTAATAATATATTGATAAAATAACATAATTATTAATTGAGTATATATATAAATAATATAATATAATTAAGTAATATTTAAAATATATTTAAAATATATATAATCTATATAATTAACTGACTAAACAGTTTTTATAATGACTTTTAAAATAATTTTTTAATAATTTATTAATGTTTTGATTATTATGTCTAGAAAAGTTTCATTAACTAAAAATATATATTTTATTACTTAATACATTATATGTACAGTTGAAAACAATTGTTAAATCTATTATATACTATAGTAAATCAGTTTTCTTTTAAATTTTGTGTATAGACTTGAATATGATGACTATACCTATCAGTAGTGGTACCACCACCACCACCACAACAACCACCATCGCCAGCGCCATCAGCACCACTGATACAAGTGTTAGGCAACCAAACGTATTGTTAAACAAACGTAAAGGTGTAGCAATCATACGACTAAACCGACCGCACAAATACAATGCACTGACCAAACAAATGTACGATTCGGTGATTACCAGTCTAACCGATGCGGCCACCGATCAGTCTATTAAGTTGGCCCTAATTACGGGAACCGGTAGCTACTATTCGGCGGGCAATGATTTAAGTAAATATCTATAATTTTTTTGTTTGAAAAAAAGTTTATTTTAATAAAAGTGATTTAGTTATTATTTTTTATTAAATATCAATATAAATATATATATATATATATATATATTAGTTAAAATATATTTTATATTTTATTAGATATTTATGAAAAATCATTCAAACATTTTGATGGCCATATGAATCATACTGTCGACAATCTGATTGAAAAGTTTAGGCAATTTGTGATCGCGTTTATCGATTTCCCGAAACCGTTGATCGCTGCCGTAAACGGACCGGCCATTGGTGTGGCGGCCACTACACTGGCACTGGTCGACTGTGCAGTAGCCTCGGATACGGCATATTTTTTGACACCGTTTTCATCAATGGGACTGTCGGCCGAAGGTTGCTCCAGCTATACATTCCCGCAGATTATGGGCCAATCAATGGCCGGCCAAATGTTGTATTTTAATCACAAGATGTCGGCCACTGAGGCCCTGCAGTCGGGACTCGTATCGCGAGTCATACCCAGCGCTCAGTTCGATGAGTATATCGAGAGCTGGATATTCGCCGATCGGACCGGTATTGTCAACACGTGTTATCCTCAGTCGATGCGTGCGTCCAAACAGTTGGTCCGATCGGCGGCCATACGCCGAGTGTTACATGAGGTCAACCGATCCGAGTGTTTGATACTTCGCGATCGTTTCAATTCAGATGAATGTCTGGAAGCCATCGAAAAGTTTTTCGGACGAAACAAACAAAAATAACTGAATTTTTTTTTAAATTTTGTTTATAAATAAAAAAATACTTTATTTTTTGAAAATAACATTTATATCAATAAATCTATGACATAATAATTTTTATTTATTTATTAAAGATTAGATAAATACTGTATTTATTGATATGAAAAAGTATAAACATATATACAGTATACATATTACAGTACAGTATTATTACTGTTAAAAAAATTATTATCAAATATTTACAAATTTTTCTGTTCATTATATAATTATTAAATAAAAATATTGTTATAAAGTTATGTATAATTTTCTAACTAAACATTTATACTACTATTATTTGTGGCCAACAATATCGATGTCCAGTCAAAAATCAGGTCAATTAAGTAGACGGCTAATGATGTCTACTACCAGCACCGGTACCACCACCACCACTACCATCACCAATGATACAGTAGCTAAACAGCCAACAGTATTGCTAAGCAAACGTATGGGTGTATCAATTATACGGCTAAACCGGCCGCACAAATACAATGCATGGACACAACAAATGTACGATACAGTAGCCAATGGACTGACCGATGCGGCCACCGATGAGTCCATTAAGTTGGCCCTAATTACGGGAACCGGTAGTTTCTATTCGGCGGGCAATGATTTAAGTAAATTTTACTAAATATTTGATATATTGCTAAAAAAATTATTATTATTTTTAATAATAAATATTATTTAATTAGAAAACTATGAAAAAGCATTCAAACAGTTTGACGGCGATATGAATCGTGCGGCCGACGAACAAACCGAAAGGTTTCGGCAATTTGTGGCCGCATTTATCGATTTCCCGAAACCACTAATTGCTGCCGTAAACGGACCGGCTATTGGTGTGGCGGCCACTACACTAGCACTGGTCGACTGTGCAGTCGCCTCAGATTCGGCCTATTTTTCGACACCGTTTTCATCGCTGGGACTGTCGGCCGAAGGTTGCTCGACCTATACATTCCCGCAGATTATGGGCCAATCAATGGCCGCACAAATGCTATATTTTAATCATAAGATGTCGGCCACTGAGGCCCTGCAGTCGGGACTTGTGTCGCGAGTCATACCTAGCGCTCAGTTCGATGAGTATATCGAGAACTGGATATTCGCCGATCGGACCGGTATTGTCAACACATGTTATCCGCAGTCGATGCGTGCGTCCAAACAGTTGGTCCGATCGGCGGCCATACGCCAAGTGTTACATGAGGTCAACCGATCCGAGTGTTTGATACTTAAACAACGTTCTGTTTCCGATGAATGTCTTGAAGCCATACAAAAGTTTTTCATTAAAAACAAACTTTAATTTTTTAAATATAATAAATGTTTTTTATATTTGATTTTATTTACAATAAAAAAACAATAAATAATTTTGAAAACTACTAAATTATAAAAATAATATACATTTATTTTAAAAATAAAATCTAGTTTTATATAAAAAATTTTTAATATAATAATTTTATACAATAATATAAAATGTTATTTTTTTTAATTAATTAGGAACCGTATAATCAATTTTTTATTAACAACTTAAAGTATAGACAATAAGTCAATATTTATGTCTAGAAAATTTACTATAGTTTTATACTGTGTGTGTGTTGTTTACTGAATATATTGTTTATCTAATATTAAAAGTATTTATGTTATAAATAATATAAATTATTTTCAAAATAAATTTTAATTAATTTAGTTAATTTGTTTTTATTTAACTGTTTAAATAAAATTGTTATTACAATAATGTTATGTATATATTCTAAACAAATAAATATATTGATAGATAAATATATTTTTTGAATAACATAAACAATTTATAAGGTAGCTAAAAATATTATTTATTTATTATATATATAATACATAAATATATATGTATTTTGTTTTTAATTAATTATTCTTAGTTTATATTTTATTTATAATATGTTTTCAATACTTGTATTTTATTTAAAAACTAATATTATATATATAAATAAAATATTACAGCCAGTTATGATTGTAATAATTTACCTAGATTATAATAGTCTATTTTTATTAAAAAAAAGTATTAATAAATAATATATAAAATGTAAAAAAAATCTTTATTTAATATAATAATTACTATAATTTTAAATATTTATAAGTTTTAATATTTTTATAGAAAAAATTACGTTTTAACATTGTTTAATAAAGATTTATTTATCTATTTAAAAAAAAATAATAATAATGACAATTATGAGCAAGATAATTTCAATAATTGGGTCATTCAAAACATTAGATGAAAGTTATTACGAGACCAGGCCTACCATTGAACGTATAGAAGCAATAATGAGCCGATTTTATGCTATACTATACGATAGTAGCGATAACTATATGAACCGACAAATGGATTACAATAGGCTAGTGTTGGTAATTGTACTGAATTTCATAAAATTCATAATGTTTCTGAAATTTTCCATAACATCTATTATCAATACGGTTAGTACAGTATATTAATATGTAATAAATATAATTTATATATAATGTAAATATAATATAATTTAATTATTTTTTTCTAAAATTGAATGAAAATAACTATTTTTAACCAATTAATTATATAAATAATTTTAATAATATTTTTTTTGACTAAAACAAACAATTTTTAATTTGTATTATTAGATATTAAAATAGGGTTGTTAGTTTTCTTTAAAACAAATACTTGACAGGTTATTAAAAATTAAAGTAAAAAACATTTAAATCAAAATTATTATTTTTTTCTAAATTAATTAAATTGTTGTTATTGTCTATTGTTGTTAATTAAAATAACAAACAAAAAATATTTTTTTAATTATATATATTTTAAATATATATAGCTATGGATCCATGAGCTATTAGCCGATCCTTTTTATACAATAATCAATTCGACAATGGGATCCCTGTGCTCAACAATAGCAACGTTTTCATCATTTTACATAGCATTGGTCGTACACTATGAGGAATACACTCATACCATGTATTTGTTTGAATCGGTCTATAAAATCAAATACAATTTATTTGAGTATAGACTAAATACAAATCAAATGAGACAATTGATGTTAAAATTTAATATACTATTAATATTGTTGCGACCAATGATTTACTTGACTTCATTGATAACATTTTCCACGCTATTGTATGCGTATTATTTGGCATTGGTTGATGGCGATTTTGATTGTACTAGTGGCAATTGGTGGTTGATAAAATTTCTAACAATTAATCTAGTACATTTTATATCGATAATCAAAATGACCAGTGGCGCATTTATCGGGTTTGTCGTATGGTTCGGTTGCGCCCGATATTTGAAACTTAAATACCAGTCTATTGCACGCGAAATGATGTGCGTATCGTTGTTAGACAATACCAATAATCATAATAATTCCCGGTCTAATCCCCGACGGTTATTATTGGCCATTGGCGAACATAATGGCTTAACCCGGGTAGTCATGAATTTAAACGGATATTTTTGTCAACTAAATTTTGTTATCTACTATTGTATAACCCCAGGCATACTGTTGGCACTGTACGGTACGTTTCATAGGGATTCCGTACTAATGGCCAGGTATTATTTTCTATTTATACTAACATTTTGCCTATCGTTGGCCATATTTGACTATATGATGACCACATGGATTAGCCGTACGGCACATTTGCCATTGAAATATTTATACCAACATTTGGTCCGATATCCGGCACTATCGCTACCGATGCGACTAAAATTGCTTCTGTATGTCGAACGACTGTCCGGACCGACCATTGGTTTCTATTGTCTGGATTTGTTTCCAATAAATAGTTTTGAGTTTTTCCAGTATATCTATATTAGCGGTCAATTGATGTTTTTATTGATGTCATTAATATAATTTATTTTATTTTTTTATAATTTATATTATTTTATTTTATTAATATAATATATCATATTTATCGTAACTTAATATATTTATATATATTGCTTTTTTAATTTAATTTTAATTAATTAGAAATATTTTTATTTTTTATATTTATTCAAATAATTAATAGGTTTTTAAACTTTCTAAATATTATTAAACTTACAATAATAATTTCAAATAATAATACTGTATATTTATTAATATCTTTAAATACTGTATTTAATTTCCTATTTATTTCTATAAATAATTATTTTATTTACATTTTTTTATTTGCATGTTTATGTTAAATAAATATTTTATGTATTTCTATAGAATAATTTTCAATTTTATGTTTTTTCTTACATAATTTATCACAAATTTAAACTTGATTTAACTTTAACATAAAATTATAATATAAAGTTCATTATTATTTATATCTATATATCATATAATCATATTTATAAAATCAATAAACTTTATATTTGCATAATATTAATATACAGAGACAATAATTCCTGACTATAATAATATTTATTATTTGCTATAATACAGTATATAACTGTATATATCAATATATAATTTATTTAAGGAAAATATTTTTTTATGTAAAAAAAATTAATTAATTATAGTTTTGAAGAAAAAAAACATTTTATACTTGTACTGTACTGTATAATAGCATAATATAAATCGGTAAATACTGAAAAATAATTTATATGTTTGCATATATTGATTAATTAAGTTTAAGTCTCTTAAACTTTTATAAACTGATATATCATTTTATACTATAAATATTATATTATTATATAAGTTAAACAATAAACAAAAATTTTATTTAGATATTCAGATATTGTATATCTGATATAAATAATATTATAAATATTTTATTTTATTATTATTATTGGTCCAGAATTAATAAAATTTTATTTAATAATAAAATATTAATTAAGATATTTTTTTAATACTTAGTATTTAATATTAGATGTTTTTTAAATTATGTTATATATTTAATTTATTCAAAAAAATGAGAATTATGAGCAAGGTGATTTCCGTTATTCGGTTATTGCTAACGTTTAAGGAAAGTTATTACGAAACACGACCGGCCTTTGAACGGGTCGAGTCAATAATGAGCCGATTTTATGCTATACTATACGACAGTAGCGATAACTATATGAACCGACAAATGGATTACAGGAGACTAGTGTTGGTAATTGTATTGAATTTCGTACAATTCATAACGTTTGTAAAATTTTCCATAACATCTATTATCAATGAGGTTAGTATAATGTTTAATTAAATAGATTTTAAAAATAAAATTATTTATTTTTATTAATTATAAATAAACTATAATTAAATTTTTTTATATAAATATAACTGATCTAAATAATTTTACTAATATAAAATATATTAGATTATCAATGTGAATTTGTATAATATTTTCAATCATAGATAACTAGTGTATATATGAATTATTGGCACAATATTTTTATATATTAATAGATATTATTAAAAATTATAATTAGATTTGTTAAAATTAATTTTTTTTTGTGGAAATAGTATTAAATTGACTTTAGATTAATTTTTTTTGATTTATTTTAATATTTTTAAAAATAAATCATTTCCTAGCTATGGATTCGTGAACTATTAGCCGATCCCTATTACACAATAACCAATTCGACAATGGGATCCCTGTGCTCAACAATAGCAACGTTTTCATCATTTTACTTAGCAATGGTCATACACTATCAGGAATACACGCATACCATGTATTTGTTTGAATCGGTCTATAAAATCAAAAACAATTTGTTTGAATATCGACTAAACCGGAACCAAATGAGACGATTGATGTTACAATTTAATATACTATTAATATTGTTGCGACCAATGATACACTTGGTATCGTGGATAACATTTTCCACGCTATTGTATGCGTATTATTTGGCATTGGTTGATGACGATTTTGATACTGGTAGTAATGGCAATTGGTGGTGGCTGATAAAATTTCTAATAACTAATCTAGTACATTTAGTTGCCATAATTAAAATGACCAGTGGCGCATTTATCGGTTTTATCGTATGGTTCGGTTGCGCCCGATATCTGAAACTAAAATACCAGTCTATTGCACGCCAGATGACGTACGTATCGTTGTTAGACAATACCAATGATAATAATTGGCGACAATCCCGGGCCAATCCCGTACGGTTATTATTGGCCATAAACCAACATAATGGTCTAACTACTGTTGTCAAACAATTGGATAATTATTTTAGCCAGGTAAATTTTATTATCTATTTTTTCATGACACCCGGCATACTGTTGGCAATGTACGGTACGTTTCACGAGGATTCGGTACTATTGGCCAGGTATTATTTTCTATTTATACTAACATTTTGTCTATCGTTGGCCATGTTTGACTATCTGATGAATACATGGATAAGCCGTTGGGCACATTTGCCAT